TATTGGGACGTAAATATGGTTGTCTAACCCTTATAGAAATATCATACTAAGAATCATTGATAATTACTTATTTTCAGTATTAAAAATACTGGATAATAAGTAATTATCAATGATTCTTAGTATGACATTTCTATAAGGGAAACTAAACCCAAGCATGAACCTAAAGCATGAATATGCATGCTGTGTGAAAAGCGAGATATCAATATATGCTATATTGTACTTACCAATAAATCGATGATACCATTTGGACAATTTCCACTCATTTAGCATTGTACGAATGAATTCTTCGTCAGCCATTATCACTTCATACTTATATCTGTATCACACACTTCACACATATCACTTATTACTGCAGAATCTCGCGTTAAGAGACTGTATGGGGCTATTCCCTTATAGAAATGTCATACTAAGAATCATTGATAATTACTTATTATCCAGTATTTTTGATATTGAAAATAAATAATTATCAATGATTCTTAGTATGATATTTCTATAAGGGTTGCGTCAGTCGTAATGTTCCTAACCTTAGTTGCTAACTTTAAGCGCCAATGGACTTCATGCGCGTGGAGGGGATTGATTTCTCAAACGCGCGCGGGGTCCTCTAGCGCAAGGTTTGACTGTATTCACTTTTAAAGTCAGGAAAAATTCAACACACGTAATTTTTATGATTAGAATAACATCTTTCTTGAACACTCTCAATTGATATTGACTAGATCTCTTTCGACAATGACCATAAACTTACTTAATGATATACATCCCATTGGCGATCGCAACGCTTGTGGAATTTCTTCTGTTTTTTTATCGAAAACAAAGATAGGTAATGCTCATGAGCATTGCGATCACAAGTGGAACGCAGCCGAAGCAGGCGTATATAAACCTCACTATTGCCATTCGCTATTATTGTTCAATATTACTGTGTGTATGTATATGTGTATGTGTGTGTGTGTGTGTGTGCGTGTGTGTGTGTAATTTATATATATATATATATATATATATATAATTTATAATTAAAAAAAATATTATATTATATTATATGTATTATACTTTTACACACACACACATAAATATATATATATAGAAATTATATACACATACACACACACACATGGTAATTGAACAATAGTAGCGAATGGCAATAGTGAGGTATATATAATAGAATAGAATATTTTTGTTTAATTACAAATTTTCTGTTGAAGAAACTAAGCAAATAATTTGGTTGCGCAACTAAACAAATTTTTGAATTTTATTCTTTCTATAACACATTTGGTTAGCATAAGTAAAACATTTTATGTCGTCAACTAAAACATGTGTACCAAACATTTTGGTAGCAATTAAAAAATTAATTTTTTCAGTGTAGAGGTGACTTTGACTTTGACCTCTGAGCTCATTTTGAAGGTTATTCGAAAGTCAACTTTACATTCTAAATAGAAATATTAATTTTATTCTTCGTAAAAAAACTAACAACTTTTGTTTGGACGAATTTTTCGTACGACCTTCATTTTCTAAGATATTTAGAAATATCTACAAAATTATTGGTTTTAATAATTTTTTATTCAAATTTTGCCAACTTTACCAGAAAATGGCAAGAGATAAAAATTGTTTATTTTTTTCTCATAGAGCTCCGGGAATTTATCAGGATTTTTTATAAACTTTTTAGTACTTTTTAGTACTTCAAGAAAATGCAAGAAAAAGCTAACTAAGAAGTTAACTATAAGTTAACTATATAATTAAGTCCATCCAGAATCTCATCCGTTCAACCGTTATAGTCGAATGAGGAATCGTGCTTGTGTTCAACTAAAGTCGCGTAAGTATACACGGTCGGCCGCGAGCCCATTGCTTGCGCTTGCACTTGGCTTCGCGACTATTATCGTTTGATAATAAATTTCTGAGGAATACTTTAGAATAAATTAAACTCGGATAATTCTTCGGAAATTTATTTTTTCAATTCTTTAGATGTTCTATAAAATTCTGTATGAACTTCTGATCAGCTGACTAAAAATTTTTACAAGGTTGATCCAAAAAGTTTTTTGACGTTTATTATTCTTATTTCATACATTTGCGTTGTATTTTAATTAATTATTAATTTGTTTTTCTCCAAGATCTCCAAATTTTTTTTCTCAGCATTGTAAAATATCACACTATTAAAATCACTAATATTATTAATGTATATCCTTTATTGTTTCCCAGTATGGGGTTACAAAATTCATTTTAAAATTCTTCCCCACGCTACCCACACACATAAGCACCCATTCCGCACCCATTCCGCACCCATTCCGCACCCTACTTCTTACAACTAAATTTACATCTAATTCTTACAACTAACTTATGTCTAGCTTATATATATATATATTATTTTTTTTTTTTTGACGGGGAGGAAATGCGTTATGCATACCCCGATCTTACTGGGATAAGGCCGGGGTTATGTCGGACTCACACCGACTAAAACCTCCTCGAGTGCCCTACCTCTGCTGTCGCCCAGGGTCACCCGGAGAACCGCTCTAGCTTATATATTTAACTTAACCTACCTTAACCTAACTTAACCTAACGCATGGACCTCCGTCTCTCTCTCTCTCTCTCTCTCTCTCTCTCTCTCTCTCTCTCTCCCCCCCTCTCTCTCCCCCC